CACGTGGCTCATAGCATGGAGTGTATACGCTCGTGCGCTGCCTCAGGCGTCCGAACAAGCTGCACCGCCTTTGTCCTCGTCGCCATCCCCTTCAGCGATCGGCTCTTCTGCATCACTTGTGCCGACGAGCACGAGCTCAAGCTATCTCCCACCCTCGACACCATTGCCTGGCCTGCCCGCAAATGGCATTCGGATCAACGACGTCGCGATCGGCGCCTTGCCAGACTGGTCAACAGAAGGACCAACAGACATCAACGCAGCTCTCGGTGCGTTCACTCACACAATCAAAAGCTCAACTGAACGTTCCTAATGCCATTGCGTTCTGAAACGCAGGAGCCGGCGTAAGCATCATTGGTGATTACCTAAATACTTGGCCAGAACGGTACGGGCTCGAACAAGTCGACTATCATTTGCCAGAAATCAGGAGAATATCCAGAGGACGGATCCAGCCCGTTTACGCGCCGGCTTTGATCTATCACGCCTCGTTAGACACTTGGACGGACGAGATTTCACAGGCAGTCGCCACAAAGATGAAACAAATCAACGACGCTGGCATCGTCGTTTGGTTAAGGTTACTGTTTGAAATGAATGGCTACTGGATGGACTATGGTGTGCAACCCGAAGGGTTTCAAAGAGTGTGGAAAAGCGTCGCGGACGCCGTCAGAGCAAAGACGAATTCGACGTTTATGTATTGGGCACCAAACGTCTGGGCAGGAGACGTCGGCGACTCGAGGCAAGGTTACGTGCCTTACTGGCCCGGCGAGAACTGTGAGTCGCTCTGACTGGCTCCGATCGACTCGCGTGCGGCACTGATTCGGGCTGGCACAGACGTCGACGTCGCAGGATTGTCGTACTACTGGCAAGGCTACAACAAGTCTATCAACCAACCGCCCCCTTCAGGCCAGTTCAAAGACTTGTTTCAACCGTTTCACGATCTGCTCAACCCTCGCAACGCACGTCGGAACCAGCTCGGCTTGACGAGATCGTTTCCTGTCGTCATTGCCGAAACGTCGGCACCTTATTATTACGATTTGCCACCGACGTCACCCATCTTTGACCAAGCTGGAGACACCGACGTGCCCGCGCGACTCAGTCCAAACTTGACCAACTGGCAACCTTCACTCAAAAGTCCTCCTTTCGACCGATCCGACGACGAGTTGTACATCAAAGCGACTTGGTTTGTTCAAATGACGTCTCGAAACTCGTTGCGAGATTTGCCAGGCCTCAAGGCGATCACAATCTTTAACTATCTGAAACGCGGTGGCGATGGCGCAGACGTTTTGGCCGACTTTAGAAGCGTAGGAGGCAATTCGAGTGTAGAGGCATGGTTTAGAGGATATATGGGCAACCAAACTGCGTTCGAGCTAGGGTACACGGGAGCAAGCGTTAGATTCGCCGCTCCATGGTGGCTCGCTCTGGTTGGCGCTTGCATTGCGTTGTGTCAATAGATCATGATTGTGTAGAACTCTAGACGAGGACATTGTGTTGTTATTCGTTCCGACAAGCAGCAAACAATCCAGAGACGGCGGTTGCGGACGGCAACTCGCTCTGAGAGGTAGTTGCGGAACAGGTCATCATGGGCGTCGTAACAAAATGGGAATCCTTTTTTACAATGATGGTGAGGCTCGCTCATTGAGAATGGTAGCCAATTCTGAAACGATGCGCCACACTTTCATACCGTCTCGCCATCCGATGCGTCATTCGCGCGTCGCTCAACGAAAAGCTCTGTTTGCCAAAATGTCAAATACGATTTCCGGGCTGTGACGCGAGAAACTGACATTGAATAGATTGTGCAGTCCGGCTGAAAATCCACCTGTTGGCGGCGGGTTTGCAATGTCTTGACGTGCGCTTCGATGTCGTTTCTGGATCTCTAAGCGGTTCTCCCGCTTGTAATTCACCTGTCTCGTGGACGTTTAGATGCCATGTTCTGAGCGCCGAAACACATTATGCTGACCCAAGCATTGTTGGCTGCCATGGCGCGACTGTGGATCGAATGGACGTGCTCTTCCTGCGCGGTGTCAGCACGGGTGAGTTAGAATGTGGCATGTGAGCTGACATTGGGTTTGTCTTGACGACTCGCGCTTGCCAGCAAGTCACAAAGTTTTGTTACTTCCTCCAGAAGTCCGTTCGGCACAGGTCGAGACAGTTGATACAAGCTGTCCCACAGATATCCACGCAGGATATTACAAACCCGGACAGAGTCTCTGAGAGCTTGCTGCGTCGTGTCAGGACGGTGTTTGAACCATCGTGTCCATTCAGACGGGAGATTCTTCTCGGCTTCGGCGAGATTCGTACTGGCTTTTGCAAGAGTAACTCGTTGAGCGGCGAGAGTGTCCCGAGCCGACATGACTGGATGGGCTCTCAGAATGAGAGAGCGCCAAATACGCGCCTCTTTCGAGGCCGCAAAATGTCCGCGGAACGGAGCTCGCAACAGGAGCCTGGCGTTCGATGTCATTATTTCAGTCGTACGCGACAGAAAATCGATGAGAAACAGAATCATATCGCTTCGCTGTTCGAACAGTCATCCGCGACATTGAATTCGCCTTGGAAACTTCTAGACATCAGGCAAGCTGGCTATCGTGGGCGGGCCATCATGCTCACCGATGAGGCAAAAGACATGCGCGTCGAATCTGCTGCCGGATTTTTAATGCTCGCTTGTTGTATTTTGCTCTGCAATTGTCGGTGAGTGGCTGTTACCTGACATCGCTTTTGGATCGCTCCGCCCACCCAATACTGCATCAGTTCCGCCAAATCCTTGTCTATCTTGGACTTGTCCTTGTCCCACACCTGTAAAACAATGCACTCAGCGAATCAGCCCGGACGCACGAAGCTTTCGCTCAAACTTCTAAACGCGTCTTGCGATCATTTTCGGCAATCACACGCAACCGCACTAGCAACCCGACCAAAGTTTTGAAAATCCAGTCCAATTCTTTATCGGACAATCTTGTCTGAGCAGCTTCGACTGCTTGGTATATTACCTCGCACTTGTCGATTCGTTTGCTCAGGCTGCGACCCGTCGACCCGTCCTGATCCGCTGTCGATGCTCTTAGGCATCCAAGGTCGTGGGCGGCTTGCTGCATATAGCCAGTGAGGATGGCCATGCCTTGATCCGCGAAAAAGTTGCAAAAATCTGCGGAGACGCGCTACAACATCCGCGAGGAGCCAAGATCGAAGCCCATGGGGTCCGGGGAACGAGAATACTCCGGTCTTACAGGTGAACAAATTGAGAACAGCCAACATGGAGCTCGCGAAACAAGTATCTCTGACGGGCGCACAGTGTCAATATTGCAACCTCGTTGCAGGTCTCTGGGAAACGTGCTCATCGCTACCGTTCCAGTTCAGTATCTGACGTCGAAACGGCGGGCTACGTCATTATACCGCTTGGCCGTGCGAGGCGTCATTTGCGGCAGAGAATGCTGCAGAAGTGTCAGAGAGTTCGTATGACACGAAGAATTCGAGTGGACAGACCTCGGAGTGAGATCCCGGTTTCTCGGCTGAATCCGACTTTCAAGCAGATTCAGTACATTCTCCAGCTGCACTTGGTCTTGCACGCGTACCTTGAGCCCGTCGAGCAAGCCGTCGAACAGCGCGCTGTTCCAACCCTTGTAGGACTGCGAAAACATCAGCGCTAACCTGAAACAGCAAGAGCACTTGGGCACCTTCTTGGGACGAGACGGAGGCAGTATACCAAGCAGTCGTTGGGCTTTCGATCGAAAGCTTGCTGGGTCGCGGGAGGCAAGGTTGCTCATGGCGCGCCGAGCAGTATTCACCTGTTCCTCGGTGATGACATGTCTGGTTTGAGCATGCGTGAGGGCTTCTTTAACTTGCTCGAGCAACTTCTGATCTGCTGCATCCAGTGGCATTACGGCGTGGACCGGAAGATGAAACAAAGGCGGGCTTTTCATGGAATCGGCATTGACAGCGCACACGCGAACCCGCGAGGAGTCAATTTTCAACCACATAGCCTCTTCACAAGTCATACCCAACGCTAAAGTGGGCAACATTGTCATACCGACGAGCAGCCCTCGGCGTGATTCGTGCAAGAGAGCGAGCCTTGCTCTTCCTCACACTTTCGGCATTGCGCTGTGTCATGCCGTTCAGCGTCGAACGGGCAATGCCTGACTGGCCTCACTTACTATATGAGCTCTTGCATCTTCAAGAAGCGTCACCGCCAACCGCGCTTCTAGACGCGTCGTCAAAAATCACTGATCAGTCAAGAGTCTGATAGTCGACGCGGGCCAGGGTCCGGGCGACGTACTTCAGTGGGCGACTTGGCGTGCTTGTGAACTTTTTTGATGAATGTAGCAAGCTCGCCCAAGGTCTTGTCTCCGTTTTTGCCCAGCTCTTTCCAAAAATCCTTTGTCTGATTGAGCAAATCGTGACACTGGGTGATCTCGACGAGTTGCGCATCGGCATCAAAGTTCAACCTCTCCAAAGACTCATCTAGGAGGGTAGTGCACGTATCGAAGCGCTGTTGCTGATCTTTGCCCCACTTTGGCATTTTGGATGAGTGCGAAAAGCGCGACGTTTGAATCGACGAGAGCCGACGGCGCCCTCAGGAGTCTAATGCTGGCAAGTCGTCCCGCCGGATCGCATTGTCTCTCTTTCCAGTCGCGTCTACAAAGCTTGTGTGTGTTGTATAGGGAGTCTTGTCTACCACGTCTGATTCTTTCCGTGCTATTTTCGAGAGTCATCGCCGATGAAAACTGCTTCGACCCGTCTTTGTGCTTTAAAAAGACTGCATTCTCGCAGCTCCACCGCATCTTTCAAGTCATCATCCGTACGTTGCTGGCTATGATTTGGATATCGCGTTGAGCCGAGAAGAGCATGAAGGCAGATAAATCAACGCGGAATTCTGTGGCACCAACGTGTGCCACGGTTGACCGCCTGCCAATTCTAGGAACATTCAAAAAATCGGAAGCATCAAACAGGCCCGGTCGTCATCAACGTCGAGCCGTATGGAAAGAAGCAGAGCGGAACAGAACAAAAAAAAAAAAGAAAGCGCCCGCCCGGGTTTGAACCAGGGACCTGACGATGAACTTTTTTTACTGCAGTCGACCGCTCTACCACTGAGCTACAGGCGCCCCGTGCCAATCCCTCAATTGCAACATATATAAAACACGTTTTCAAAGTCGTCCACGCGCTTTTGATCCCGTTTCCGCCTCCGCTCCTGGGTTAGTTTGACATCGCGATAGTCTTGCAATTCCAGGGCACGTAGATACAAAAAAAAAACACGCGCCGCCTGCGCCATTCCTACGGGTATTGGGTCTCAGAACACGTTCCATACGCCTTTGACTGATGGAACCCGGAAATCCGGTACACTACACATGCGATTGACTCGACTGCCTGTCGGAGTCCCACACTGTTGAAGCCGAGGCATGTGAAGTTGAGGACTCTTCTTCGTCCGTAATGCATTCTTGGTCTTTCACGGTTCTTTCATGTATATAACCAAGTGATCAATTGCAATGAAAAACTTGTTTAGAAAAAAAAACAAAAAAAGGACTGCTACTCCAAAAGCACCCTTGCAAAAGGTGAGCACGGGCCCTTGCCTCGAGATCGACCGTGAAACTGACTTGGGAGGCGTTTAACGCAGCTGCAGCCAAACCAGGGCAGACCAAGCTTGCATTTGCGCCTCAATCTCTGCGTGAGTTTCGCCGCTTGGATGCACAACGCGAGGTCGCGTAGTCTGACGAACTTTTCAGAGGGAACATCCGCACCGCCACCGTCTACGCCATGCCAGCTTCCAACAGTATCACCCAGCCGCGACGGGCCCCCAGTTCCCAAAAAGCAGAAGCTCGACGAGCCCACTCATCTCATGGCTGGCGGTATCAACGCTTCAGCGGCCGAAAACGAAGACGATGACGATGACGAGAACGCGAGCCCACCCCCGGCCCTCAAGACCATCAAACAGCCAAAGTTGCACGAGGCAACGCCCACTCCGGGTAGAAGGCTTGACATGGTAGGGGCAAGCAAATGGGAGAAAGGGCGGACCACGGTTCAATCGCCCTCTGAACCGTGGAAGGCTGTCGTCGTCGCTCGCCTCGAGGACGATGCGAATTGACGCACACTAAAGTCCGGCAAAACCCTTAAAAAAGGGCTTCTGACATCGTGGGCGGAGGAGCTTGATGTGCCCCGCCACACACTCACGGCAAGTCGGAGGATTTTAAGACGGCACAAGGTTCCGAGCCAGCTGACTTGACGTTACGCGCAGAACTTTGTCGACCACTGGCGCTCGAAGAACGGCACTGGGAAGAAGGACGAGGCACGTTCCTTCTTCTCACAAGAGATCCGGGACAGGATCGACGAGGGTGTCGCCCGCCACGAGCACAACAGACACAAGAACGGCGTCGAATGGCTGCGGGGCCTCTTCCCAGCCGAGACCAAAACGTTTACAAACAAGCAGCTCTCGGTGAGCACTGTCTCTCGCTGTCTGCGGAGACTGCGATCGAATTAGTAGACATCGGCCTGACCCAATTAAATACAGACGCAGATAGATCAAGCGAGGCACCGGCTCAAGCGTGCTCGAGAAAAGCTTGCCGGAGAGGAGTCTGAAGCTTCCCTCGAGCAGGAGCGCGAGGAGGTGGAAGCACTGCTCCAGAAACTCGGAGTCTGGCACTTGGACTCTTTGTCCTGGGCAGAGGGACTCGTCATTTGAGCCGGTCACGATGGTGCGTGTTCAGACCGCAAGCACTCTGCACTCCGAAGACTCTTCGGCGCTTCAACACTGTGTTTGCGGTCTCAAGGATGGTCGTGACCGGCTCAAATCACGAGATCTTCTGCCCAAGACAGGGAGTCCAAGTGCCAGACCCCGAGGTTTTCGAGTAACCTCTGCACCTCTTGGCGCTCTCGGTCGACGGAAGCTTCAGCCTCCTCTCGGACGAGCTTTGCCCGAGCGAGCTTGAGGCGGTGCCTAGCCTGGTCCATCTGCGTTTGTCTTCGGTTCTATCCGGCCGATGTCGGCCAATGTGATCGAAGCGTCCCATCAGAGACAGTCACAATGCTCATCGAAAGCTGCTTGTTGTTGGTCGCCTTTGCTTCCTCAGCCAATTTTTCAGGGTCTTGCCGGACTTGACCCTCTGATAATTCGCACTGTCGCCGGGGCGAGCGATGACGGTAACCTTTCACGGTTCAGAGGGCGATTGAACCGAGGCCCGGCCTGTCTCCCGTGCACGTAGGTTTTTAATTTCGAGCCTTCTACGCGGAGCGATCGTTGCCTCCTGCAACTTTGGCTGGGTCAGTGCGGTGAGGGTTGGAGTCCGGGTTACGCCGTCGCCCTCGTCGCCCACGGTGACATCTATACTTTTAACGCCTTATCTCCTTCCTCGTCCTGGTCTTTGTCTTCGTCTGCGTCTTCATCGATTCGTGAGCTCCCGAGTCCCCTCTGGCATGCGGGCGTTCTTAACTTAACCTGGGGCAGTCGGCGCGACGGGTTGATATCGTAATTTTGATTCGGACTTGGGCAAGAGAGGATCCTACTTTGCGATCGCGGTCTCTTGTCAGCGACCGGCGTGCAGAAGGCGAAGAGAATCCCGCCAGCTTCGACACCTCGGCGGGCGTAACGCCGTCACTTTACGAGACGGTCATGTTCAAACTCAGTCTCTTGTTGCTAGCAAGATTATGTCGCCACTGGTCGACTTACCCTCGTGGCTAATTACGTCATCGGGGGGCTCGTGCGCTCGGCGAGACGATGTAGACCGTACCACAGTGCAGCACTGCCGCGTAAGACATCAAAAGACTTGAAAAATTGCGTCTCGTATGTCACCGATGCCGTACTTGAGGCTATCGAGGCGTAGCCCGGGCGGGCCCGTGCGTATGCATGCCGAACAAGGGCATTGCAGGAGAATGACGGCTGAGGGGCGAGTCGAGAGGGATTCAACGATGCTTCAATCGCCACTTGAACACGTGCGGCAGATTTCGAACGAGTCGGATGCGGAGAGGACAAAGGGCAAAGTGCGAGATTCGAGATTCGTGCGTGCAAAAGTTTATGCATTTCGTCTAGTGTCAACTGCACGACTGCAACAATCTTACAAGCTCGTCGGCACTGCATACACGTCATCGAGAGCACCTTCGAGCAATCCGCCCCACAAGTTCAATTCTAAACTCATCGCTTTCAGGCTGGCCGTGACTTCTTCCCCGAACAAGCTCGAATTTGGACAGGTCTCTGGTGCAGTGTTGACGCTCGCCTTATCGTCCTCGTACGTGCTGCCGACCTCGAACGCGAACCGGTCAAATTCGAGCACAATATTGCGCGTTTCGATGGCGCGTTCGACCTCGCGCTCGGTGCCATTGTTGCCGGCAATGCACAAGTCGCACTGCTTGAGGCATTGTTGCAGCAGTTTGCGAACGCGCGGAAAGTCAGCGTCTTCGGGAAACAGACGCGTCGTCGTGTACAGCAGATTAATGGCCGTCGGAATACTGCGCACAGCTTGTTAGCTCTTACGATCTGCGCGGGCGAGCAACACGCACTTGACATGGCTGCAGGTAATGGGGTCAGCATCGAGTTGTGTGGCCAACGCGACAAACTCACTGAAGATACTGTGCGACCATCGAGTGTGGCAACCAAATGCGACTTTCGATGCCTGCGCAGCGTCATCAGTAACAGAGGCATACAAAGTTGCGGCTGACACACCCCATCGCATAATGACGAGCGCGCTCTCTGACCCGCGCTTGGCAAATTCGCGCATCTTGGGATATTGGCGCGCCCTGTCGTCAATGACCATGTTTCTGAAAATGTACATGAGCAGAGATTGTCGACCGTGGTGAAACGGCACAGCCGTCTTGAGCTCGCGCGAATCGCCCCATTGCCTGCACCGGAAAATGTCAGCTGTGTTGCCACCGTTTCCGACTGCAGACTCGCGTGATCATTTCTGCAATCAAAAGTGTGAGCTTTATAGTAGCTTTGTGTGAATCAATCGCACGCACCCATCATGTCCAACCACCGCTTTTCCCAGTCAAGCAACGCCTGAATACCCTGCTCGACAATTTGAAATAGCTCGTCGTAGCTCGGTCGGGCGGCACGCATGCCGGGACCAATCTTGTCAAATACTTCGCGCAGGATCAAGCACTCTTCGACGTTGCTGTGGCGCAGTTTCAGCATAAATTTGGGCGAAACTCGCATGGACGAGCGCTCTCGACTCACACCCGGATGCCACGATCAAACGGCTGCTGCACAAAATCGGACCCTTCGAGCAAATCGAGTTGATGTCGGATGACGTCTGCCGGAATGTGGTAGGTGCCATGCAACCCGCGACAGTAAGAGTAGCTGCCCCAGAAAATCAGCCACGCCCGACGACCGAGACGAGACAACTCACAAAGACGTCCACAAGAACGCGATGAGAAATGCACGTCCCCGCCTAACCAGCACTTGGCCCTTGTGAGACGCTTGCTCGTCCGGACTGAGCGCCTCAAACTCGAGCAACGCCGTCGGCATTCCAAACTTGTAGCTGAGAGCAATTCCATGTCCCATGAGGTCCGGCATGCCATTGTACAAGCTTAAGAGCATCATGCCTTTCAAATCTAGACTCGTTGGTTCGTTTCCGGGATCACACAAGATCGTGTCGTGACACAGGTCGATCGCCTCGTTCAACGTCGTTTTGTAGGTCGAGAACCGGCTCAGACTGCGTGCGCCAATAGAGACGAGTGTGGCGAGTAACAATGGCGAGCGCGACCGAGTCTCTCTGAAAGGCAGCCGGATCGGCCGGTCTTGTTTCGGCTTGCCGTTCGCGCCGTTGGAGACGTCGCCCGACGGATGAGGAAACGTGACGAAATACCTGTCACGGCGGACTGGACAGTCAGCGTCAGACGCATGCTCAAGAATAGGCACAATGTCGCTCACGACTCGAAGCACAACATGGCCTCTTCCTCCGAGACGAGGCCTCGCGATATAAAGTCGCCCGAACAGGTCGTCTTCTGTCGCTTGTCACGGTGTCCAGACACGCACGGGTCTGGCTTGACGCCGTTGATGGCGTAGCACGAGTCGAACGGTGTCGAGTTGACGGGCGGCATTGCAGTCTTGGCGTCGTATTGTGCAAACGTTTGCGGATAGTACTGCGGCAGAGCCTGAGGTTGCTGCTGCATGTTGGCT